AATAAGACTGCTCGTGCTGCAGGATCCGATACCCAATAAATTCAAAAAGGAGGACCCTCGGTAGTTTCACGCCTTACCGGCCTCTGATATTCCCTAAATGAAAATATTGCCTCAATTACATTTTCATCGCAAACTGCATTTATTAAGCTTTCTTTTGATGTAAAGTTTCGTAGGGTTTTCTTGAAACTAGTATGCGTACGAACTTTTTCCTGAAGGACACCCGCGAAGGTGGGAAGTAGCCTTAAATGGTAAGGAGCACCAACTTGGCTACTATTTAAAGAAATTTACAGAGAATTGCCAGGGGGTTTGGCTTTGTCAATTTCACGGCAGAAAAATAATGTTTGAATCATCAGGAAATTTATTAGCTCTCAGCCTTGAAGCTCAAACACTCTTAAGGAATATGACAGTATTTCAACTGATCACTCCTCATATTCGTTTTCGTTGAAATTTGGACAAAACTTTTGAAAAATTTATTGATAATTTTAGCATATTAGCATATTAGTCTAGGCAAATTGTGTGCATAGAACAAAAGACTGATAGTTTATACCAGGGGCGTAGCCAGGATTTTTCAAAGGGGAGTCACAGAGGCTACTCACCATTGACACCGCTGGTCTCCCGCGTATATCAGCGGGCTCAGTCGTATTATCGCGGCATGAAGACTCATATCAATGGCTTTTACGGCCAAGATATTGTCATGGCGTTTTCGCCACCTGAATATTGTAGGTTGTTTGCTCTAAAGAAGACCTACCAAGGGGGCTCATGGGCATACCAGGACCCCCCTGGCTACGCCCTTGGTTTATACCAGTAGTAAGCTTCTGGTAATAATGAAAAAACTCTTGAATGACAGCTTTCCACAATAAGTGTCACAGCCATCCATTCTGTCTATAGTACCAATTATTGGTTCACTTCACATTACCTTGCACAGAAGAGAACGTAGCAGTTAATTCCTATCATCAGGATTAAGAAATACGAATTTCAAGATCACGACACATACAGCAAAGTGAGATATAACTCAACGGGTTTGAAATTCATATTTCACTTCGACTCAAAGTTCACTTCGCAAGGCAAAAGCATTAATATCCTTCTGAAATAAAACAGGACAGAATACAGCTGACGCCATTCGTTTCGAATAACACTTAAACATGAAGAAAACAGCACCAGTTTTAACTCATGAGACAAATCCCACGAATTTTTTTGAGATAAATTGACTAGTTGGACCGAAAGCTAGACAAATAAACGGTTAACTGACAGTAGTGAAGGATTTTGGGGCCATGTGATAAATGAGTTTTACGGAAGTTTTTCTTCTAATTAGCACTTCAAGCTCGAAAAGCCAATGATAAAAACTACCACTAAAACACAGGGAAAAAATAAGCCAAAAGAGGAGTTGATTGAGGTAAGACCATAGCCATTGCCTACGTGCCAGGTACAACAGACTTGGAGAGCAAAAAAGCCAAAGACGGTTTTGGGTCATGACTTGGAAAATCTACCAAAACCTCCCAAACAATAATTCGCTGAAGGTGGTGGTGGTGGTAAGAGCATCTCAATCCTGAAGCTGGGAGTCCTATGTGAATGTAACGAGAACGAAAGGACGATGTTACTTAAAGTGATTTGATGCTTGGGGGCGGAGACGAACACAGAGACGAACACAAAGAAAGCTTAAAAATGCAAATGTCGTGTTAATGTTTCAAATATTCGCCTCATTTGTTGGAGGAATCAGAGTTGAAGATGCCATTAATTCCCTAGCGTTCTGCATTTTTTCCAGCAAACTCGCCTCGTTGAAGTCTGTTCAGTGAAGATGGTTCAAATTTTTTAGAGTATGCTTCAGATGCTGAGAAAGATCTTGCTTCGTGTAAACTCAGTCACTGAATTTGTTCTCGTCCTCAAGAATATCGCGATTTGTCACCGCGGCAAGCCATGTTTGTCAGGTAGGTGTTCCAAATTCTGCTGAAGTGCTTGTATGTTATTTATTTTTGGAAAGAAACACTTTTTTTCGAGGTGCTCTTTGAATTTTTTTTACTCCTTTTTTGGAAGTTTTTATACCTAACTTTTCTAAATCAAAATTCAGCGACAATTTTACAACTACCGCTCCATTGTTTCAGTGTAAATGTTTGCAGACTCTTCTGCAAACATGAATTCTTTAAACCCTAAGAGTGACCAGTATCCAATTTCTCCCTACAGTATCACCCCTGAATCACACCTCAAGGTCAGGAGAATTTAACTGATCGCCAACTCAAGAAGCTCTTGATTGTTACACAAATTCTCCCTGTCGGCAGCATAGGAAATGTATAGAGAACAGTGAAGAGAACATGCATTCTGATTGTCGTTGACGAACGACAATTATACTCGGCTGGTTGGATATTTGTATATTTTAATCTCTTTATTCGCTCGCAATACTCCAAAACTCAACTCGACTCGCTGATCAAAAACACTCTCCCCTAGCCCATAGCAACGAACCGACCTGTCAATTCACATAGCAACACAAAAAGAAATAGATAAATAAATGTACAGGAAGCGGGAGGGACACTGATGTCAGGTCAGGGTGTAAAGGATAAAGCAATTGCATAGCAACCGGTTAACACCAGTTAAACTCCAATAATGAAGCTTCATGCTTGGTCTTTCGGTCATAAAACCTATTTCCAATGGATCTTACTGTAACATTATTTATTATCAAAATTGCAGTGTTTTGGAAGGATTTCGAGCCCTTGTAAGTGTCAAAAGTACGAGAGTTTTTACTGTTGTTTGATATCTCCAATCAGATGCTGACACGTCACTCGCCTTTCACGCCACTCGGTCAGGTTGATGAATGAAAGGAACTACATTCTTCATTCTCAATCAAAGGTCATTTGCTGCATTTTCTTGTCAGTAAAGGCCTATAGTGTTTATGCAATAAACAAAATAATACATGGTTGTTTGTAGATGTGGTCTGTTAATTTCTCTCCTTGTTTTCAACTCAATATCTCACGGGTGAGCGCAGCAATCGAGAAACTTGAACAGAGATTC